ACAGTATGTCGCGTCGAGCGACCGGTCCGTTGTTCCGTCGGCGTTCTTTCACTGCCTATGGAATTCCCCGCAGGGAAGAAGTTTAGCGGGACCCTCGCAAGGGTGAATACCAATAACAGACACCAGACATCTGATTGCTTCAGAGGAGGGAGCACATCGCGCCCGGGGCAGGTGGAATGGTCCCAGCAGCAGCAGCAGCAGCAGCAGCCCCGAGTGCTTTGCACAAACCTCTTTTATTATTCTATTTCAAGCGGGAGGGGGAGCACACAGGGGGTAGCAGAGTTTTACCTTATATGGAAGAAAATCATAAACAAAGAACAAAGTATGTGATAGTTTGCAAGCTTGCAAGTATGCTTATCATACAGAGCTAACGTGTCCTGGGACGGAAAGTAACAACAGTCAGTGTTTCGCGATCATATTGAAACATTTTGCAGTTGGCTAAAACAAGGTCATTAGATACGTGCAAACATCCCTGTATCCGTGTTTGACAATGTCTGCTTAATGGTGGAATAGCTACAACAGTGTGCTAATCTGAGGCCCTAGTTTTTCTCCTGATTTATACTTTACCTTCCCTTCCTTGTTATCTGATTTATGTTTAGTTCTATTAGTTGGTCATTCTTCCCCACCAGATTTAGTGTAGATGAGCTGAGCCAGATGTTTTTCAAATGCATTCTTGCCAGTCTTCATGAAGTGCAATCCATCTCTGGTCCATCTTTTTCTCTCTTGGTGTAGACAACTTTTGTCTTATCTATATCCTGAAGGGTTTTTCAAAATCCCCTCCAATACTGCCAGGCAGTATTGTGTTTACCTACCACAGCAATGGGGCAACCCTAGAATTGATTAAGGAGAGATGTTCTGAGACCAGTTTCCTCAGAATCTCAGAAATCAGTTTTCCCTTTTTACAGCTAGGATTGGAACTTTCTTTAAAGCTTTTGTTAATTGTTCCTGCTGGAACAGTTAGAGAGGCTGCTCTTTCTCCTTAACTTTCCTTTCATTTTCCTCTTCTGATCATGCCTTCCATGCTGATTTCTTTTCAACTCTTGCATCTGTTCCTTCAAGCTCCAGTGGTGTCAACTTGATTTCATTGAGGGCAGTGGTGGGATTCAAAAACTTTTACTACTGGTTCTGTGGGCATAGCTTGGTGGGTGTGGCCATGTGACTTTGGTAGGCATGGCTCTTTTTTTGCAGCCTCCACCCATTTTGGGGAGCTTCCTAGCCACAGAGGAGCCTCTGGGGGGGTCATTTTTGCTCCCCTAAAGCTCCTCTGGGGCTCTGGAAGAAAAGGAACAGAGCATGGGAGGGGCACACAGCACCCCTCCAAGGTCCGTTTTGGGAGCTTCCTAGCCTCAGAGAAGCCTCTTTTGCTCCCCTAAGGCTCCTCTGGGGCTCTGGAAGGCAAAAAATGGAGGGGGGGCTGAGCTCCTCCCACCATTTTTTGCCTTCCTGGGCCTCAGCAAGGGAAATCCGGGCACAGCTGATCTTATCTACAGCTGATTGTTGGGAGGGAAAAAAAAAGAAAGAAATACCTTAGGCGAATGTCAGGCAGGCGGGTGGGGTGAGCGAGCATCAGACAGGGCGACGAGGTGGGGGCGTGGCCAGCCAGAACTTACTACCGGTTCAGTGAGCCATGCCAAATTCTTGCTACCGGTTCGCCCAATCCAGTGCGAACTGGCTGAATACCACCACTGATTGAGGGCCACATCAGGCTGTGTTTGACCTTGGGGGGAAGGGGCGCATGGGCAAGGGGTGGGGCCAGCTGGGTATCACTCATGTCAGGGGTGCCTTTAGTGGCCTGAGTGCTCTGCCAGATAAAATGGGCGCCCAAGCTCCATTTTTGGATGCGATGGCCTCCTGCATCCCTCTGCAACCTCTGCCTCTGCCAGTGAAAACAGAGCTTGGGCGGGCCTCCATTTTCACTGGCAGAGGCACTGCAGGCCAGTCTGCTGTTTCCAGGGTCAACTCAAGGCCTGGGGGCCAAATCTAAGCACCCTGCAGGCTGGATCTGGCCCCCAGGCCTTGAGTTTGACACCCCTGTCCTAGTAGAAACCTCATCCCATCTCATGTTTTCTCCTAAATCTGTCAGTTTTTATCACATTTGCACACATTCATCTCTATTCTTCATTCTCTGTCCCTCGTTGCCCCACAAATTCTTATTCCTATTATCTCTTTCCATCTTTCTATTACTTGCACCTCCCTCACATTCTTTACTCTCCTCCCCAACATGTCTAACAACATTCCTTGCTTCTTGAAAATCTGTTTCCAAAGTGATTACTTTGTTGCTCCATTCACCCAATCAAGATTGCTCAGGGCACTGTAGCCCACTGTAGCTCCTTTTAAAGACTGCTTGCTCCAAGGGCACTGCATGATGTCACCCATATTTCACCTCTCATCCCTCTTATTAGAAGGTTTTGTTCCAGCTATGTAATGGTACTATAAATAGAAATTGCAGAATTCTAAAGGGAATTCTTTCTCCTGATGATTCCCAATGGCTTTAAAACATAATGGGTGCCATTCATTATGTTCTGTACAATGTTTTGAAGCTGGTCACTTGAATTGGGGAAATTAAGATTTTGTTGGTAAATGTGCCATTTAGTGCAGGCTTTGGGGTATGTTCTCAGTGGCGCAGTGGTTAGAGTGCAGTACTGCAAGCTACTCCTACTGCAATTTGGCAGATCAAATCCCATCAGGCTCAAGGTTGACTCAGTCTTCCATCCTTCTGAGGTGGGTAAAACCCAGATTGTTGGGGGCAATATGCTGACTCTGTAAATCGCTTTGAGAGGGTTGTAAAGTACTATAAAGCAGTATATAAGTCTAAGTGCTATTGCTATGTTAATATGATCCGCTCAAACTCTTGGTCAGACAAATTGTACTAGAAGCTGAGTTGATGTAGCCTACATGTCTTTTGAGTGGGGTGGAGCTCAAGATCCCCAGATGTGTAACAATCTGTTTCAGCTTTCTCCTTAAAGGGGTATGAGTGACTATTTCCCATTGCTGGTTTTGGGCGTTTCTGTGCCATGTTTGTTCTCTGATTTCCACTACTGCAGAGAGATTGCTTAAACAAGCCACCTCTTTCTGAGCTGCTTTTCTCCACCGCACAGCACTTCCCTAAAAAAGATCAAGTGAAAGTTTATCGGATCAGCTTTGTGGTTTTAATCAAATGAGAACGCTGCTGCCTGAAACTAACCACATTTTAATCAGTTTCACACTGAAGCCTTTTGTACTAAATGCTGACACTGTTCATCAGGATAGTAATTGTGAATAGTCACTAAAAAGGACTTCCTGCATAAAGTTTTCTATCTTTCTAGTGTAAAATACAATTAACAGGAGGTAGATGCAGGAATGCCTCCCAATTATTGCTGTGTAAACAGAAGTATTTTCCAGTCACCTAAAAATTATTGACTATTTTTGTTTAAGATCATTTTAATTTTATAAGATTACATGCCAGTTTGCAATATTATTGTTCTATTGTTTCTTCTTTTAATTTCTCAATAATGCCTAATACTTAATCTTACTACCTGTTTTCTTTGATTTTCAGTATGATTGGTGTTCCTGGATTCCAAACGCTCCTCCAACTATGCGCTGCCCACCACCTACAGAAAAGGGGAAAACCACCATTGAGTATATCATCAAGAGTTTACCTGACAGGGGACGGTCTTGTTGGCATCTTGGTGCTGTTTGGGCTTTGAGTCAATTTCAAGAAAATGAAGTGAGGCTTGTCTCAATATTTAAATGCTTTTTTATTTATAACATAAAAGTGAACTCCAGACTCCACATTCTTCCTAGAAGTATGTTTGTGTGTTTTAGTGGACTGGAGGTAAGTATTGTGTACATGGACCTCAAGGAAAGCCTTCAATAAGATTCTAAAAATATTCATAAAATTAAAATATCAGTTAGAGAATACTACTATTATATGGACTTAACAGTTGAATGCACACAAATATATAAAAATGATTGTTAATAATTCTACTCCATCTTGGAAGGAAGCTTCAAGTGTAATTGAGGAGGTATAGTTTCAAGAGGACTTCACTTGAAACTTCCTTCCAAGAAACGTCACAATTTTACAGGCTATTGCTCAACATTTTTATCAGTTAATTGAATGAAGCAGTACAGGGACATTTCTAAAATCTGCAGGTAGCACAAAATTGGGATGACTAATACTTTAGTTGGAAAGAAAGTTCAAAAAGATAAATACCACCTTGAACAGTAAGCTGAAATGAATAGGATGGAATTTAATAGGAGGTCATATAAAGTTCTGCATCTGGATTAGAAAAACCTAATGCCTAAATATAGGATGGAGGAGGATCAAACAATAAGTTAAAATTATAATGACTTGGTCTAAAAATATAAGGAAGGAGGTTCAGGCTACACTTCAGTTGGAATATGCTTGTCAGCTGTCAAAAAGGTACTAGGACAATTCATCATGACCATGACCATTTCACCTGGACTTTTCCAACTCAGCTGACCCACTGCAGGCCTTCGTCCATGGCTGGCCCTCCAGTGATATACTGCTGCCACTACTACTACACCACTTCTCCATCAATGCCTAGTCATGGGTGATGCCTCACAACACAAATCTGCATGGCCAATTCCCCTGCAAGATGATTAAATTCACCTCTGATGCTTCTGGCATGCTTCTGGTGCATGCCCACTGGCAAGAGGCACAGGGGGCATCAGCAGCAGCTGTGCTGGAAAGCAGTGGTGGCATGGCTTTGGCAGCAACCAGCAACATTCAGATGGGGGGGCTTGCAGGTGCAGAAAAAGCAATAACTGATCTTTCTCCTCTTCTGTGTTATTGAGAAGAAAATTAATAAAAAATGGATAACTTATACAGTTGATTGCAGAATTGCTAAGCCTTCTTTATAAGTACATTTGAACAGGAACCAAATTAAGATTTTAAGATGAAAGTTGCTGGGAAGTGGGGGAGTCGGGGGATGCTCAGTGGAAAGGCTCACCTGGGGCTTTGGTGGCATCTGTCCTGCTGCCAGTCTACCCAGCTCACCCAGGTTCAGCCCTTCCTTTCGTGGGCTGCCTTCTTAAAATGCCCAAGAATTGGTCCCCAAGACGGAATCCACTTGATGCTCCTGCAGGATTTCAGCCTCCCGATCCCTGCAAGGTGAAAGGGCCACTTCCATTTGCAGCCGCACCTGCTGTGCCCCCTGCAGCAAGGCTCTCCAGAAAAGGCTCCGCTATTTTGAACTTCTTTACTGCTGGCTTTAACAAGCTATTGTGAAAGATTGGATGCACTTTCCCTAAAAGGCGAGGGAGACTAAGCTGTCCTGTAACAGGGTTAATCACTTTCACTATGGGAAAAGGACCGATAAACTTCAGTCCTAGCTTCTTGCATGGAAGCTTTAATTTCAGGTATTTTGTGGAGAGGTAAACCTTACTTCCAACCCAGAATGGCATTTGTAATGTGTTTTTTTATAAGTTTTTGCCACTTCCTGCAATGCCTGCTTTGTATTCTCCCACCCCTGCTTCAGAGACTCCATCCATTAATGTAGTGACATGGACGAAGGGGGCTCTCTGGGTAATTCGGGCATGTGAACAAATTCCACACTGGTTGTGATTTGGAATGGGGTCATGTCAGTGCTACTGTGGACAGCGTTGTTGTACGCCACCTCTGCAAATGCCAGCAGCTCTGCCTTGTTGGACTGCTGGTAGTTAACATAGCACCTTATATACTGTTCTATTATGGCATTAGTTCATTCCACCAACCCATTGGTACTTGGATGGAAGGCCGAGCTAAGTCCCTGCAAGGACCTAATGGACCTATCAAACTCCCTTCAGAACTTAGAAGTTAATTGGAATCCCCCTCCCCCGGTCAGAATAATCTTGAAGGGAACGCCATGTAGCCTATAGATCTGCTTGATAAATAGCTTGGCTAGCTTTTTTGTGAAAGGGAGCCCTGGGCAGGCGGTAAAGTGGGCTTGCTTTGGGAATGGATCAAATATGGTCCAAATGACCATATTCTCCCTCCTTTCAGGGAACTCCACAATAAAGTCAATGGTAATCTCCTCCCAAAGCCTGGAGGGGTCCTCCACTTGCTGCAATAGCCCTGGAGGCTTTCTTGGCCTTTTCTTAATGGCTGCACAAGTGGCATAGCTTTTGACATAGTCCTCAATGTCTTTTTTCCTTTTCAGTCATCAAAACTGACTTTGAGCTAAATGCAAGGTCTTCAAGTAGCCAAAATGCCCTGCTTGTTTAGAGTTGTGGCTTTATTGGAGAACTTGGAGCCATACACTTGTGGGGATGTACAATTTTGAGCCTTTCCAGGTAGTACATCTCTTAGGGTCAGTGCCTCCTTGTCATCCCTCTACAACAAGGTCTGCTTGCAGTTCATTTCTCAGTCTTTGGGTCATACTGTCCCTTCCTATAGCTCTCTTCACCTGGCTTTGACCACAGGTTGTGGCTTGCAAGGCAGGCTGGGCAGTAAATGCAAAGAAGTGGTTCATGCCATGATTCCCACTAATCATGGCGTGGAAAATCATTGGTCCCAAGAAAAGTACTTTGTTTTGGCTACAAAAATCTCAAATCCTCCCTCCCTGACCTCTCAGTGTGGCAATGTTGAAGTGGGCAAAATGGCTTTGGTCAGGACAGCTTCAGGTTGACAGTCAATCATAGTAGGCATTACTTTTTTGGTTTGGTTGCTGTATTGTTGCCAATATCAGAAATATGATTGCCTTATCATATTAATTTACCTGCACTGAATTGATTTAGAAGCATTGTATTTGTTTTGTTGGATGGCGGGGGGGGAGTTACCCAACTACCAGACAATTCTTACATCCAAAAGGTGTATCATACTTTCTCAGTAGAGACACCTACTCTTTCCCCTGTGGTCTGGCAAATCTCTTCCTAGCCTTTTAAAAAGCCTTGAAGACCTGGCCTTTTTTCCCCACAAGCATTGTAGTAGACATTGGATAGCTGTTCATGGATAGCTATATAAATGAAAAGGAGTGAGGGGAACAAAGAAATAAAAACAAGAAAATGTCAACACTATTCAGAAAATTAATTTGATTTGGAGATTGGATCAAATTATCTTTGAATTGAATAAATTAAAATTTGGTACAACATTATGGTACATATAAGAGGTTAAATGTACTAAAGTAATGAACAACCAGCTTCAGTACTGATAACTACAATATTGAACTAACTGGTAGATAGCTTTTGTGTTTCCTGGGGGAAGGTTACTGCAAAATCCCATTCCCTCCCCACCCCATTTTTCCAGCTCTGTTCTCTTGTGCAGGACAACAAAAGAAGACCCAGCCAAACAGCTGGGACTCAGGAGGCAGAGAATAGATGGGGGCGGGGCCAGTCAGAGGTGGTATTTGCTTGTTCTCTGAACTACTCAAAATTTCCACTACCAGTTCTCCAGAACTGGTCAGAACCTGTTGAATACCACCTCTGATCAAAAGATCCAGCAACTAGTACTCGGGTGAGCTGCAATTAAAATCTTTGCTATATTCTGATTATAATATTTGTAAACCTTGTCTACTTTTTCCAATATGTTGCATTTTTTTGGTCTTCTCCATTCAGGTGTTTCTGGGAATATATCCAGATGAACACTTCACAGAGAAGCCAGTAAAAGAGGCCATGAGGAAATTCCGCAAGAATCTTGATGGAATTGCCAGTTACATTGCTGAACGTAACAGGAACAAAAAACTTCCCTATTATTATCTTTCCCCAGATCAAATTCCTAATAGTGTGGCTGTCTAATTTTTTAAAAAAGTAACATTTAGTGTATCTAGCCAAATGGAAAATTATCTAAAGCATTAAAAAATTATAATCATTTGCACAAAATGGTATAGGATCTCCTGCTTGAGCAGAGGGTTGGACTAGAAAACCTTCAAACTCCCTTCCAACCCTATTATTCTATGTTCCATAACAACAGAAGAAATTTACTTGTTTGTTTTAGAAAGTACTTCTATAAAAACTTGCTACTATTATACTATATTTTATTTAAGATAAAGTACCATAACTGCTAAATATTGCTGATCAGAAAAAAATGAAAATATTCTGATTTGTAAATGCTGTGCAGAGCAAATGTATGTGACTCTGACCTTCAAATGTTTTAAAACTACCCGGCAAGCCTAACCAGCATAATCAGTGGGAAAGAAACCAAGAAGAGCAGCAATATTTCATGGGCATAGTTCTCATGCTCTCACCAAGAATAATTTGCGTTTCTTTACTGCAGATGTGAAAACCAGTAATAATATGCATTAATATCAATAAAATATATAAAATGCTTCTGTCATCAATAATGTGTCTTTTTAAAGAAACTAAAGGGTGCTACCTACAGCTGCGTATGCCAGGTAAGGAGTGAGTTGGCAGGGAGGAGAGGGGAGGGGCCAGCCAGTGATGCAATTTGCCGGTTCTCCAAACTGGGCAGAATCATTACAACTGGTTCTATAGAACCGGTCCGACCAGGTTTTATCCCACCCATGCCCCCAACACAACTCACAGTGAAGACAGAAGTCCTTAACCCAGTCCCAAACTTATTGCACCATGTGACCTTGTTGCACAACACGCTGGCCCTTCAAGTCATACTATGTTGACATGAAGTTCAGGAATCTGACAGCCCACGGATAGAAACTGTTCAGCCTGTGGGTGCAGCTTGCTTTATTTCTATAGCTCCTACCCAAGGGTAGGAGAGTGAAGAAGCACTGACCATGGTGTGAGTCTAAAAAAAAGCAGTGAGCCCTAGCAATGTCATCTAGTGGATTAGGGAACAGCCCACGATGTTTTGTGCTTTGCTCACCACGTTCTGTAATGTCTTTCTATCTGCGGCTGTCAAGCCAGCATACCACACCTGATGTGAAAATGAATTGGTTTTTCAGCGATTCTGATCCAGGGAAACATGAATATGTGTTTCTTTTCCAAATCTGAGCTCTGTGTCAAAAGTGGAGTTTTCTGGCTAAATTGAATTCTACCAACTATACAGGGAAACCTTGAATACAAGGCTAAGTCTTCAGATAAATCTTGGATCTGAAAATGAAGTGGTTTTTCAACACAGAACTCAATTCATCAGAGAACACAACTTTGACACACAGCTCAGATTTTGAAAAGAAACACATATTCACGCTCCACCATTGGAAAATGTTGAAAAACCATTTTTGGATCCGAGCTTTCCCTGAGGAGTTATCTTGGCATATCCCAAAATTGTGGGTAGAATTCAGCCAGAAAACCCAACATTTGACGCAGAGCTCAGATTTCGAAAAGAACTTCATTTTCATGTTCCCCAGGGTGGAAAACTGAAAATCCACTTCATTTTTGGATTCGAGCTTTCCCTGAGGAGTTATCCCAAGGCATATCTCAAAATGGTGGGTCGAACACAATTCAGCCAGAAAACACAACCTTTGATGCAGAGTTCGGATTTTGAAAACTTCATTTTCATGTTCCCCAGGGTGGAAAACGTTGAAAATCCACTTCATTTTCAGATCTGAGCTTTCCCTGAGGAGTTATCCCATGGCATATCTCAAAATTGTGGGTAGAATTCAGCCAGAAAACCCAACATTTGACACAGAGCTCGGATTTTGAAGAGGACTTCATTTTCATGTTTCCCAGTGTGGAAAACGTTGAAAATCTACTTCATTTTCGGATCTGAGCTTTCCCTGAGGAGTTATCCCATCACATCTCAAAATGGTGGGTAGAACTCAATTCAGCCAGAAAATACAACTTTTGACACAGAGCTCGGATTTTATTTTTTGTTTTGTTTAAACTTTATTAGTCTTTTATGTCTTTTAAAAACAAAAAGATAATCATTACATTAACAGTTCTGTGACATCAATCTCATACATTTCTATCTTTTGTGCATATTTATAAATATAATTTGTGCAAATATATACATTTAATCTATAAATTGCTAATTTTGTTATTTTGTGATTTCTGTTCCATATGCTCTCCCAATCTGATAGTTTATACTATGTCCAATATTTTGACCCCATGCATCCTTTCACTACTTCTTCTAATTCTACTTCCAGAAGATATTTGTAAATTTTAGATATATTTTTTTATCTGGTCTCAATAGAATTTTGTCTAATTGTTGTGGTTTCAGGTATATTCCATGATCCTTTATGTTCTGTCTCACTTTTCTTCTTTCTCAAAAGATGAAAGAATACAAACTCACACAAACACAGGCAGGCAAGCTGGCTCGGACTTCATAGAGTTAATTCTTTGGAACTGATAATATCCTTGGCATTCCAACATGCTCTGCCTGCCAAGTCCGAACTGATAACAAATAAAAATCTACTCACAGAAAATTACAAGGCAGTCCACAAAAATCATTCACGAAGAAAATCTGAAGTAAGATTAAACTTTGTCCCATACAAAGTTCCAGCCGAAAACACACCCACTTTGGGGTGTGGCTCAATGACTCAGCTCACTCTCTGACCCTCCCACGCCTCCTATGTTGCTGCTCACGTTTCTCCCTAGAACGCTGCTTAGGATCAAGCCAACACTCTTCCTCTTTACTCCCTGTCAGGGGCTGCTCCGATATGCCTTCCTCCTGATTAATCTCAGGCTGTTCCTCTCGGTTGTCTGATGAAACCTGAGGCATTATCAGGGAAGAAGGAATTGACAGAGAGGAAGGTCCTGGGGAGGAAGGCATTCCCAGTTCCTCCTCCTCATCTTCCAGGTCTTCTTCCTCTGACAGCATAGGCTCAGGAATCAGGGCCACAACACCTTTATATCTTTTTTGTATTGGTCTTGTAATTGGAGATAAGTCCACCAGTCAACTCGTAGCCCTTGTTCTTGGAGGTCTTGCATTGTTTTTAAATTTTCATGAATATCTAATAGGTCTTTATATTTTAACATTTTGTTCAAGTCTAAATTATTTGGGTGGATCATTGTTTCCATTGTGGATAGCCAAATTGGGATTTTTTTTAATTATTTTTTTTTATTTTTTAAGACAAACATATACAAACAACATAAAAACATAAAACCATCTTCCAGTTATATACATACAGTGTGTCAGTTGGTTACAAATCTTTTGTGCTATCCTTTCATAGTCATTACTCACAGGTTGTATAAGTTCTCACATTGTCAATCTAACATATACTTATACATTTATCAGTTATTAATCATTCATTTGACTAAACTATTGTTCCATCATTTTATACAAGATATTCTAAGTTTTATTATAAATTTATATTATGCATTCATCCAATGGTTATATTTTTTTATTGTATTCTATATCAATCTATTAGTCTTCTATCATGAAATTTCCTAATCTATTTCATTGCCATGCCTTTTTATCTAACCACTGATAAAATAAATCCCATATCATATAAAATTGTTTATCTTCTTGTTCTCTAATTTCAAATGTCAATTTACTCATTTCAGAACAGTCCATAATTTTCTTAATAACTTCCTCCTGCATAGGTATTTTTTCATTTTACCAATTCTTAGCAAATACAATTCTAGCCGCTGTTAAAACATTTACAATCAAATATTTCAATTCTTTATTGTATATTTCCAGTATAATTCCCAATAAAATATCTCTGGTTTAAAGTCTATGTGTTTTATCATTTTTTCCAACCATGTGTTGATTTTAGTCCAATATCTTTTTCCATCCAGACACGTCCATCACATATGGTAATATGAACCAGGTGACATTTCCAACTTATCTGATTTGTTCGTAAACATTCTCGCAATTCTTGTCGGGGGTAGATGTCACCTGTAAAACATACAAATTTTCTTTATAAGCAGTTGACATTGTCATTTTATAGTTTTGAGACCACAATTTTTGCCATTTCTCTAAATCACTCCCATATCCAAATTTCCACCCCCAAGCAATCATTCTTTCTTTAACTTGTTCTTCCTCTAATTTAAATTCTAGTAAATGTCCATAGAGTTTTTTAATTACCTTTTCATCAGTACCTATCAAGATTTTATCTAAATCAGTCAACTTATCATAGAAACATTCTGTCTTAAGATCTCTATCGAATCTAGATTGTATTTGTACATATGAAAACCAATTCATCTTTATACCTTGTTCTTCCAATGCTTGTATAGATTTAAGTTCACACTTTTCATTCAATATCTCACCATATCTGTTTGTTCCTTTTTATATGTTATTGGATAAGAAAAAGCTTCGATAGTAGATAACCATAATGGAATTTTTAAATAATATTGCTTTTTTAATTTTCTCCCAGTTTAAAAACAATGCCTCTCGAATATAATGTCTTTAAAATACCCCTGTGTTTTAGTTCCCTTATACCAGAGGAAGGCATGCCATCCTAACAGCAAGTCATGTCCTTCTAAAGTCAATAATCTACTGTTCCTTAATGTTATCCATTCCTTTACCCACATCAAGTTTGTCACCTGATAGTATAATTCCCAATTGGGCAAAGCGAATCCTCCTCTTATTCTTGCATCTTGTAGCAATTTAAGTTTTATTCTCACTTTCTTTTCTTGCCAAATGTATTTTAACACTATTTTATTTAGATCCTCAAAAAACTCTTTCCCTAATCTGATTGGAATTGTCTGGAATAAGTATAAAATTCTAGGCAATACATTCATCTTAATTGTAGATATTCTCCCAATCAATGATAATTGTAAATTTTCCCATTTTATCAAATCTGACACAATATGTTGTTTGAGTTTACGATAGTTATCCTCCTTCAGTGTGCTACATCTTGATGTAATGTATATCCCTAAATACTTAACTTTGTTTGTGACCTGGATTTCAAGACTTCCTCCAACTCTTTCTTTCATCTTGCTGATATGTTCCTTGTTAATATCTTTGTTTTATCTTTATTTATTTTCAAACCTGGTACTTTTCCATACTTTTCTTTTCTATTAATTTAGGTGCTGTTTCCAGTGGATCCTCATCTGCAAAGGCTTGCAATTTATACTCTTTCTTTTTAATTTTCATTCCTTTTATTTCTTTTTCTTCTCTAATGTTCCTATTCAACACTTCCAATGTTAATACAAACAGCAGAGGCAACAGTGGACAATCTTGTCTGGTCCCCTTTTTTATATCTATCGAATCTGTTAACTCTCCATTTATCATAACCTTTGCAGTTTGCTTATAATACATATTGTTTCTATGACTTGAATAAATTTTTTACCTTTTGTAACAATTGCAGTAAGATGAATTGCCAACTCACGTTGTCAAAGGCTTTTTGTGCATCTAAAAACATCAAGTCTATTTGCTTTTCAGGATGTGCCCCATAGTATTCCAAAGTGTCCAGAATTATTCTCACATTGTTTTTTATTTGTCTTTTTGGCAGAAATCCATTTTGATCAGAATGTATAAAATTATTTTCAGTCTTTCTGCCAAAATTGAAGCAAATATTTTATACTCTGAATTTAGTAGGGATATAGGTCTATAATTTTTAACTTGCTGTGGGTCTATGTCTTCCTTCGGTACAAGTATAATGTATGCTTCTGACCGTGTTTTGGGTATTCGCTTCTTTGACATAACTTCATTCATAACTTCTAGTAATTGAAGATTCAGTGTTTCCTGAAATGTCTTATAAAATTCTTCTGGCAATCCATCCAGACCTGGTGCTTTTCCAATGTTTTGTTTTTTTAAAGCTTCTGTTAATTCCATCATCATTATGTTCCCTTCTAACATTGTTTCAATGTCTTTGGGTATCTGGAGTAAATCGCTTCCTGTAGATATTGCTTAATTCTTTCTTCCTGAACATTCTCTTGATGATACAATTTTCCATAATAATCTTGTATAATTTTTTTTTTCCGCATTTCCATAGCAGACATCTGTTCATCTGTTAGTTTGTTTATCCTTCTTGATTCCTTTCTCAGTTTATAAGCTAACCATCTGCCTGGTTTGTTTGCATCTTCAAAATAGTTCTGTTTAGCATTTTTAATTTTTTTGTGCTAATTCCACTTTTTCCATTAATCCCATTTTATGTTTACTTATGTCCATTTTAATTTTAATGTCTTTTTTTGTGGAAATTTCTGTAACTCTTTTCCCAGTCTCTTATGCTCATCTTCCAGTGTTTTAAAAGTTTTTTTCTGTTTTATATTTCTTTTTCTTGTGTATTCTATTACCAAACCTCTTCTGTAGGCCTTCATCATGTCCCAGAGATTCTGTAATGATGTATCCTCTTTTTAATTTTCTTTAAAAAAGAAAGCCAGTTCTCTCTCAATTTTCTGTTTAAAGTCTTTTTCCTTTAATATCTGATTATTTAAAGTCCATCTAGATCTCCTCTTTTGTCCTTTCCATGTAACTGTTTTTGGGTTATGATCTGCCCAAGTACTCGTTTCTATTTAAATTTCTTGTATGTTGGAAAGCAATTCTGCTGACATCCATATCATATCTATTCTAGACCATGATGCATGTCTATTTGAATAAAAAGTATATTGTTTATTTTCCACATTTCTCTCTCTCCATGCATCTTTTAAGTTTATTTCCTCTATCATTCGAAAGAAGGATTTTGGCAATGTCTTTCTAATTTTCTTTGTTGTTTTCTGTGTTTAGTAGTCCAATTTATCATTAATTATTCCATTAAAATCCCCCATTATACAGATATTAACATAGTCCAGTTCAATTATTTTCATATATAATTTCCTGTAGAATTCTTGGCTATCATTTGGAGCATAAATTGCTATTAAAAGTGTTTTTACATTATTGTTCATTATCTCTACCATCAAAATCCTTCCATCATCATCTGTATAGATTTGTTCTGCGGGGATTGTGTCTGTAATGTATAAGACCACTCCTCTCGTTTTACATTGTGTCAATGCTGTAAATAATTTCCCTAATTTTTGTTGTTTCAGTATACATTCATGTTTTTTAATATGTACTTCTTGTAAGCAGATTATATCAAACTTTAATTTCTCTAGTTTGTGAAATACTTTTCTTTTAGTAGCTAAATTGAGTCCATTTATATTAATTGCAATCAATTTTCTCTCCTCCATTTTAGACTTTATAAGAAGGATTTGTTGCTCTAGTAGATCTTGGTTCTCGTTGCTCTCTGGGTACACCACCTACTGCTCCTTCTTCTTTTTCAATTGCTGTTATACACTCCTCTTCAAATTCAATTAGCGATTCTTCTTTTCTTGTATCTTCCACCTTTCCTCTAAAATATTCTAAATAGAATAGCTCAGCTTTTTCGACTGTGTCAATTCTGTGTCTTTGTTCCTGCCAGGCGAACATGAGACCTTCTGGTATCAACCATCTGTAGTTTACTCCTCTCTTGAGTAACTCTTTAGTCAGAAATAGGTATTCTCATCTCTCTCACTCTTCTTGATACTTGTTTCAGTACCACAACTTCTTTGTCTTTGTACTTTAACGTTTTGTCCCTTGCCACCTGCAGTATGTGTTTTAATAGTTTTCTTAGTAATTCTAATATGAAATTCTCTTGGCAATTGATTTCTCATTGCGTATCTTGTATAGACACAGAATACTTCATCCATTCCATCCATCATCTTCTCTTTAGTTATCTCTAATACTTCTGCCAGGATTTCTGTTATTATTTCAGCAAGGTTTTCACCCTTTTCTTCTTCTACATTTTGGAATCTCAGATAAAATTCTGATCTGTTGATTTCCCATCCCAATGATCTGCTCCTGTCTCTTTCAACTTCACTCAATCGATGTCAGCCTTCAAGATCTTCCTCCTTTCCTTTGCTTCTTTTTGGCTGCCATGAGTAATGGGGGGTGGAAGGGGAATTGTATGGGATGTAAGCTGCAAATGTTGCTAACTTATATTGTATAAACTGGGGAGGGTTTCTCATTCCTGCTTAGCTTTCTTTTTTTTTTTGAAAACAGTTTTATTAATTTTAACAACAAACAAAAACACATAAAACATAAAAACATCATCCTTTCCTTCATGAGTTTACAGACAGTGTATCGGTTGGTTTATCACTTTTTTTTGTGCATCCATTTCATAGTCTCCATTGTAGTTATATTGCATAATAGCTCATATTATCAATCAACAATTATATAGCCTGATATCATTATTAAACAATCATTGGACTATAATTTTATTAATTCATACTTTAGCGAGATAACTATAGTTTACTTAATTTATTGTATAGCAAATCATAAAGTCATAGCAAGTCTATCTTAATAAAATTTTATAAAGATAATATCATAGAAAAAAAGAAAATATGTATTCCTTGTTTCCTAAGGTTCTAAATATTCTATTATTATATTTTATTATCTAACCACTGATAGAAAAGGTCCCAAACTTCATAGAATTGTTTATCTTCTTGTTCTCTAATTTCAAATGTCAATCTACTCATTTCAGCACATTCCAATATTTTCTTAATAATTTCTTCCTGTAATGGTATTTTCTCACTCTTCCAATTTTTAGCAGATACAATCCTAGCTGCTGTTAATAAATTTACAATCAAATATTTCGAATTTTTATTGTATGTATCAGGTAAGATTCCCAATAAAAAAATCTCTGGTTTTAAATCTATATGTTTCTTTGTCATTTTTTCCAACCATATGCAAATTTTAGTCCAATATTTTCTAGCGTCCTCACAAGTCCACCACATATGGTAATATGAGCCAGGTATCTGATGACATTTCCAACACTTTTCAGATTTATTCTTGAACATTCTTGCTATTCTTGTTGGGGGAAAATGCCACCTGTAAAACATCTTATACAAATTTTCTTTATATGCTGTTGACATTGTCATTTTATAATTTTGAGACCACAATTTTTGCCATTTCTCTAAATCAATCCCATATCCAAAATTCTTCCCCCAAGCAATCATCGTTTCTTTAACTTGTTCTTCCTCTAGTTTAATTTCCAGTAAATAACCATATAGTTTTTTAATCACTTTTTCATCAGTACCTGTCAAAATCTTATCTAAGTCAGTCAATTTATCATAAAATCCCTCTGTTTTAGAATCTTTAACATACCTTGAGTGTATTTGTGCATATGAAAACCAATTCATCTTTATACCTTGTTCTTCTAAGTTTTGCATCGTTTTAAGTTCACCCTTTTCATCCAATATTTCCCCATATCTAACTGTTTGTTCCTTCTTGTATATTATAGGATAAGAAAAAGCTTCAGTAGTTGATAACCAAACTGGGATTTTCAAATAACATTGTCTCTTAATTTTCTCCCAGTTTAACCATAAAGACTCCCATATATAATGCCTTCTAAAATAGCCCTACGAATTAGTTCCCTTGTACCACAGAAAAGTGTGCCAGCCCAGTAATAGATCATATCCTTCTAGTGTCAACAATCTAGTCTTTCTTAATGTTATCCATTCTTTAGCCCACATCAAATTTGCAGCTTGATAATACAACTCCCAATTAGGAAGGCCAAATCCTCCTCTAATTCTAGCACCGTGTAGAAGTTTTAATTTTATTCTCGGTTTCTTATATACTTCAACACAATTTTATTTAAATCTTCAAAATAATCTTTGCCAAGCCTAATTGGTATTGTTTGAAACAAATATAAAATTCTGGGTAAAATATTCATCTTGATTGTTGAAATTCTGCCTATCAGTGACAGTTGTAGGTTTTCCCATTTCTTCAAATCAAGTGCTATCTGCTGTTTGAGTTTAATATAATTATTCTCTTTCAATGTAGTGCATCTTGACATCAAATATATCCCCAAATACTTAACTTTATTCATAACTTGAATTTTCAATAGGTCTGCCAGCTCTTCTCTTTGTCTTAATAACATGTTCTTTGTCAGAATCTTTGTTTTATCTTTATTTATTTTCAAACCAGCCATCTCACCGTATGTCTCTATCTTTTCCAATAATTTTAAAGCTGTCTCTAGAGGATCTTCCAGAATGAAAACCAAATCATCCGCAAAGGCTTGTAGTTTAAATTCCTCCTTTTTGATTTTCATTCCTTTTATATTTTGGTCCTCTCTAATATTTCTATTCAACACTTCCAAAGTCAATACAAATAACAAAGGTGATAATGGGCATCCTTGTCTTGTGCCTTTTCTTATGTTAATAGAGTCTGTAAGTTCTCCCTCTAACATTACTTTTGCCGTTTGCTTATAATATATGGCTTCTATTGCTTGAATAAATTTTCTGGCAAAACCCATCTGTTCCAGTAGTAGTAACATAAATCTCCAGTTCACATTATCAAATGCCTTTTGGGCATCTAGGAATATCAAAGCCATTTGTTTTTCAGGGTGCACCTCATAATATTCCAAAGTGTCCAGAATTACCCTCATATTGTCTTTAATTTGTCTCTTTGGCAGGAACCCATTCTGATCAGGATGAATAAAATTATTTAAGTATCTTTTAAGCCTTTCTGCCAAAATTGAAGCAAAAATTTTATAATCTGCATTCAATAAAGAAATAGGTCTATAGTTCTTGATTTGTAATGGATCAGCCCCTTCTTTTGGAATAAGTATAATGTAAGCTTCTAACCATGTTTTAGGTATCTTCTTATTTGACATAACTTCATTCATGACTTCTAGCAATGGAATGTTCAACGATTCTTGTAATGTTTTATAAAATTCTGCTGGTAGCCCATCTGGACCTGGTGCTTTTCCATTATTCTGTCTGTTAAGTGCTTCGGTTAGTTCCATCATTGTTATAGTACTTTCTAGCATTTTTTCAGTCTCATCAGGTATCTTAGGTAGGTTAGCATTTTGTAAATACTGTTTAACTTTTTCCTCATCAATATCCTCTTGTTTATATAGTTGTCCATAGAAGTCTCGGATAATTGCCTTTTTCTCCTTATTACCATAACATATTTGGACTTGATCGTCTATTAACTGTAATATTTTCCTTGATTCTTTCTCCTTTCTCAGTTTGTACGCTAACCATCTACCTGGCCTATTTGCATCTTCAAAATAGTTCTGTTTAGCACTTCTAATTTTTTGCGCCAGTTCTTCTTTCTCTATCTGACCCATTCCTGCTTAGCTTTCTCTTCTCTGCGCAACTGCAATCCTTTATCTGAGTAAGCCAAGATCAACTAATCATCACCACCTGGAGATGTCCGCATGATGTAGTTCACAACTTTTAATTGGAAGAACCGTTTGAACTGTTGGGGGTGGGAACATTTCACTCCCTTGATATATGTGATGTGTGTGCCTAATTACCCAGATTCAGAATTTTCTTGTTGCTACCACTGACTTCCAGTAAAAGACATCTTTTCTCTAATTACAAGAGTCTAAGTATTTCTTTCCTGGATTTTGAACGGAGCACCAGCTGACATTATTCTGAATCTCACTCTACCAGCCCACCTGGAGAGATAACACAATTTCTTCCGAGGGGGTCTGAACTCCAGCTAGACGCCTCATAGATGAAGCCCTCGGAGAGCCTCATGCTGAACAAACGTATGAGGGAGAGGAGTGGGAGGCAGTCCCAGCCAGAAGAAGCCGAGCAGCCATCCCCATAAATCAACCTGGGCTAGAACAACAGCAAGCAGCAACCCCGGGGCCCTCAAGGGAAGGAGTAATTGCCAGAAGACGTAGAACTCCAAAGTTGCCTTCGTTGGAAGTAAAATATGGGGGGATCCCCAAAAGTAGGGATTTTTCCTAGCACAAGTTTGGAGCTATATGGAGGAATACGCAGGGGATTTTTCCTCAGAAGCAGCCAAGCTTAGATGTGTTACCAGGGCTCTGGAGGCAACAGCTGCAAAGTGGATGGTGACTTTGCATAATGATAATGCTCCCCAGCTGTTGAATTATAACCTGTTCATGACTGTGCTGAGAGCAAGGTTTGAGGACCCACTGGCGGAATGTAAGGCCAGGATTAAGATGAAGACCATAAATCAGGGGCAGAGATCAGTGGCTGACTACACCCAAGAATTTAGAGAGCTGGCATGTTATATTCAAGGCTGGTCCCAAGAAGCTCTGATTCAAAGATGGTTTAAATGAAGATGTATACCAGAGCTGCATTGCCAGAAGAGACCCCAATGATCTGCAAATGTGGTACGTGCTGGCAGCAGAGATGGAAATTGATTTAACCCAAAACAGATGCTGGGAAGGCTCTGGCTGGAGCAAGCCCTCCCCCGCACATCTTCAAGAAGCCTTCAAACCCCAAAAGGGAGGGGTGGTGGTGAGACTCAAGACTACTGCCTGCTTCCGATGCGGGAAGGAAGGTCACCGGGCTGCAGACTGCTGGGCCAAGTTGGAACCAAAGGGGGTGCCAAGAGGAGAAAAGAAAACCTCAGCAAAGGATCATGAAACAGCGCTTAAGAGAGGGAGGTTGTAGACGTTGCCCATCCGAAGGGAGACGGGCTGGGAACTCCGACCTCCTCTG